ATTTCATACAGGGTCTGACAATTGACAATGGAAAATAGGCGCACTTGTTTACAGGGAAAGAAAACAAAGGTTGTATAAAAAGTAGGACTCAGGTGCTGTGTTATAGTTCACCTCTCTGTTTTGGGAAGAAAACAGGTCAAACTCTATGTGAGGTTTCAGCTGAAGCACAAATTCTACTGTACCAAGATGAGAAAAGCATGCAAGCCTCCCAGATTTCATGGGTGGGGGAGGCTCACCCTCATGATATTGCACCTTGCCATCTGCCACAATGACCTAACAAATGTCAATCCAGGAATCAATGTAGTATTTTTTCTTGTCTGACACCCATTAATTTCCCTTCACATCCCACCTGCATCCTTTACACTCTACACCAGACATACTTGTTCAACCCCCCCCCCCCCCAAATCCTGGGCAAACAGCATAGTGACCATATCCTCCTTGCTTGAGTGAGCACTCTACTTTCTGATCAGGCCAAGATAAATTCCTGGATTATGCAGGACACTTGAAACATGTGGTAGCACAGAGTAAGCCTTTGTCGCTCTTTTCCACACTCTCTTTGCAGATGCTTGCTGTGGGAAAAGTGATCTGTTTCCAAGGGGGAGGCACCTGAAGTCTTGTGTTTCAGGTAGCAAGAAACTGTGTCTTCCTTTGGCCTGTATTTCCTCCTTTTAGCTAGTTTTTGTAAACTGGGTATTTTCTGCTGCCACCAGGAATTTAAGGACTTCCAAACCTTCTCTCCTTTGCTGTTGGTAAAGTGACCCAGAGTCTGGGCTTTTCAGGGATCTATGTGGTCCTGAGGAAAGATAGAACTGAATTCTGGGATAAACTTGAACAAAAGATGATTTATTGAAATAAGAACAAAATATGAGATTGGTTATTCTGTAACTGTTTGGGAATAAGGGACTTGTAAATATGTCTGTCAAATGTATCACACACACACACTGTCCATTTTCCCTTTCCTTTTGTTTTTGTTTTTTGACGCTCAGATCCAACAGTAACAGGAATCACTCTTTCATATAGGCTGCCTCACAGGCTAAGCTCTTGATAATTTTAACTTCCTTCCAGATCTTTCAAGTCTCACTTTTTAAGACATAACACTGCACTCTTCTAAATCCCACACAGAACTAAAAGAACACTCACTGACTTAAAGAACACTCACTGACTTATCTCTCTAACTGAACAATTCCAACTGACTTTTCTATAACTGACTGACACCCACACAGATCCACTTCAAAAACTCCTCCCACACTCTCTCATCCTACAATCACACCACACTTGTCTCCCTCAATCACTCTACTCTGTTATCCCTGCACTCCAACCAAACATCTAAAGAGACACACACACACTTAAAACAAGGAATCATTACAAGCTGTGCCAGAACTATGGCTTGCCCAAGGTTATCCAGCAGGTGCAAGTGGAGGAATGAGGAATCAAACCCGGTTCTCCCAAATTAGAGTCCACGCACTTAAACACTACATCAAACTGGCTCACAGAATTCCCCAGAAGCTTATTCTCTTCTCAATTTGTTCTTTGATAAAAAGAGATCTTCTGGATTATTTCCCCTCAGCAACCTGCTCCTCAAACCCATTCTACTAACTTAGGGGAAAGAGGTGGGACCCTTTCTTGTGTTTCTCACACACAGGCTATATTCAAGAAGAGAATTATTGCCTGGCCTAAAACACCCTATCAGAGGGAAAGCAGAATGGTACAGACTGATCTTATCAGATCTCAGAAACTAAGCAGTGTTAATACTTGGATGGCAGACCACCACAGAAGGTTCTGCAGAGGAAGGAAATGGCAAACCACCCTGCTCCTCAAACCCATTCTACTAACTTAGGGGAAAGAGGTAGGACCCCTTTTTGTGTCTCTTACACACAGGCAACCTATATTCAAGAAGAGAATTATTGTCTGGCCTAAAACACCCTATATCAGATCTCAGAAACTAAGCAGTGTTAATACTTGGATGGCAGACCACCACAGAAGGTTCTGCAGAGGAAGGCAATGGCAAACCACCTCTGCTTCTCACTTGCCTTGAAAGCTCCTTGCTGGCATTGCCATAACTCAGTAGTGGCTTGATGGTACTTATATACATATAAAGCACCCTGTTAATATACTTAAAAATTTGAGGTGGAGGCAGACTCTATTAAAGGGTACTTGGGTAAAGATTAATTGGAGTCCAAGAAGCTGGGAGTGCCTGTATGAAGTTTACATGTGCATGCTCAGATGATCCAGAGTGACCATAACAAAGTAGCCCTACGCGGATGTCACTACACAAGGAGGGAGAGTAGACACAAGCATTCTGGCCCTGCCCCCTAACTCCATGCAATTCCCAAGTGGTCAAGGAAGTGCCTGTATGCACGCCCTGTCCCCATGATGACTGGCAATTTTCCAAAACTGGTGTCACTGATCACAGGGAGGAAGTGTTACCATAGGCACTTCTTCCATGTGTTCGCCCCATGCAGACGACTCAGCAAGGGCATGGGAGCTGGGCCACCTGGGAGGAGGGTTGTGCCTACCTGCCTGCCCTCCCTGCACAGTGACAGCCCAAGCAATTGGACACCTGCATAGGCCCAGTGAAAGAGCCGTTTCCACAAGGTTTGTTGTGAGCAACAACTTTTTAACCAGGGGCATATTTTGAACTGAGCAAAGGACAGAGCACTAGCAGCTTTGCCTCCAACCTCTGAAGGACCCGCACCTGAACTGAGATGCTGGCAAAGAGATCTTTAATCTCCATTCCTACAATGTAAATAGCAAAACAGGTTCTATCCAAGATCTCCCCTTATGACTGTTGTCACCCACTTGCTACCATTTGCTAGTGTCTAGGCCTGGTCCATTCATGTGGTAGACTGGACTGAACCATTTCAATCCAAAGGAGATCTCATTTCTGAATTCCCCCCCCCCACACACACATACATAAGGCACTCATTTCAAACAGAAAAGCAGCACAGGGCTGGACCAGAACTTTTCTCCCTGATGTGCTACTTTCCTCCTGGGGTCACTAGGCTGCCTTCACCTAGGCTTACCAACATGCCCTAGATAAAGAATTTCTGAAACATTAGTGCAAAACTTAAAAGTTCCATTCAAACCTCAAAGTAATTTTCACATTGTATTTATTGTAAAATAGGCTCCTTCCAGAAAATACAAAGGCCACTGTTTTCTAAAGCTGTTTTCTTATGACTACATTTTCCCTACTCAACACTGAAGTGTGCTCTTTCTCTTTTTTTATGTAGTAAACTTTCATTATATGGGGACAGGTATAATGGCACTAGCAGAGGAACTGTCATTCCACTTGAAAGAACTAAATATTTAAAGGCAACAAGTCCAACGACTACAATTTATACCAAATAGCTTAACTCGTATGGCTTTTTAAAAAGGATCAGAGAACCAGTGTCTCAATGGTTATTTGCAATGATAGCTAAATAGAAACTCCATGTAGAATACCAGGGGATGCAATGACATTCATGCTGGCTAGTTGTTGCTCAGAATGGAACACTGAACTGCACAGACTGATCCACCAAAGCCATTCTTATTTTACAGGGGAAAAACGTAGCCTTGCTGAAGCTTGCAACCTTTAAATGACCAAATAAGCATATATTTCCACTTTCACACCACTAGAAATCCCATTTTACATATAAAAGTGAAAAAATATAGATATACCATTACACCAAGCAATTAATCATGATATGCAGAAGTCAAAGCGGTAGAAACGTCTACCTTTTCAACTCAACCAGAATAACCTTCTCTGGTGGTTCTTTTGATGAATGTGGCATACCCAGAAGTAGTCTTCAAACCTTGCAAATACCCATGAGCACTCAAAAAAATAGCAGTTTTAATTAAATCATGACCTGGAGTAAAACCAAGCAGAAGCAGGAACTATGAACAATCATGCAATTCCACATCTTTTATTGATGGCAAAGCTGGTGGTTCTCTTTGAGTTGCCCTTTTGCACTGCCTGAGGGTATCTGCAGCAGAACTAAAACACTTTTTAAAAGGCTTTCAAGTACAGGACTAACAACTATAGATGCACACTGTAAACTGGAGAAAATAAATGTCTTTCAGTGGACTGGAATGTATGGACCTCACTGAGGAAGAGCTCTGAACTAAATACCTTTGTTAGAGGTACCCAATTAGTTCCATCCTGATCCATGAACAAGAACTAGTAAGGCAGAAGGGAGAGGAGAGAATTTGACTTTTATATCGTTTCAGCTCCATCTCAAAGATGGAACCTGTGCTTGGTCTTACACCTCAGCATTTCTTCTGTAAAATGGAAATAATGCTGGTCTACCACACAGTATGCATCTATCTATCTATGACAGTGTCATAGATGCAACAAACATGAAGGTGAGCAAACTTCAGAGGACGGCGGAAGACCGGAAGGCCTGGCGTGATCTGGTCCATGGGGTCGCAAAGAGTCGGACTCGACTGTGCAACTGAACAACAACCACCACACAGTAGGGTTTTGAAACAAACAAGATACAGCCTGTAAAAGCACACTACAATCTGATGTGTACTTACCTAGAAGTAAGCCTTATCGCCATTCATTTATATTGCTCATAGACCCATAAGTCATAACCAAGAAGTAAGTCTTATAGAACACAGTACAATTTAATTCTGAGTGAACATGTGTGTGATCAGGCTGCACATGTACTATAAAAATTCTGATGCCCAACAACATAACAACTGTGATCACACACCACAATAGAATACATGTTCCCCATATGAATTTAACAGTAAAGAAGCCCTCAGATCAAGAAAAACACTGTGCAGGTCTACAGATTACCTAGACTGACTGGTTGTGGAGCAATGAACTTTGGAAATGTGGGTCCCCTGTACCCCATCTTAGCTCCGGCTTCCGGTAATATACTACCTGACAATCAGCAACTTCTTTGAATGCAGTATCCAACTGATTCAGACTACAATCTAGAAGCAAAGCATGTATTTAACATTGCCAGCTTCTACACCTTATAAATAAAATTATGTTAACCAGGAAAGACACTTACTTGTAAAGATAATACTCAACTTGATCCACCTGCTCCCGTGAAGAAATGTTATCAATAACCTGGGGAAAAGAAAGCCTTAGAGATTTCCAGCTCTCAGACCATAAAGGAGAATAAAAACCATATAACAGGAGTATCAAACATAAGGCCCGGGGGCCAGAACCAGCAAGTTCAAGGTTCTTATGCGGCCCATGAGCAACTGGTGCAAGGGAGGGGGTGCTGGGGGAGAGTGGGCGGAGCCACTGTATTGTGGCTTCAGCATGGCAGAACAACCTCATCTGCAGCAGTCAAGCATCGTGGGACATCTGCCCAGTGCTGCATTGTTGCCTCTCCAGTCCGCCCATGTGGGTTTTCCTCTGCACCCCCCTCCCAGCCCATGGGGCCTTGCGGTGAGGACACACCAACTCGGAGCTTACCAGTTGCTGTCCTTTATAAAGTTTATATCTCTGGTACCCGGCATTACGTTTTATGGCACACATGGGCCGGCCCAACAAAGTGACATTTATGTCAAGTCTGACCCTCTTAACAAATGAGTTCAATACCTCTGCCATATAATATATATATACACCCTAGGTTTAATTAATTTTTTAAAAAAATATCAACCAAAGTTTACAAAAATTATTTACTTAGCAGCAGTTTAAAGGACAGCATTTTACATGAGAAAGAAATTAAAAAGCAATTGTCCCATAGGTGTATGTACAATGAATTGGTTTTGCAAGTGACCGAATTATGACACATAGATTCCAAATACCTGTCAGATAAACATCTCTCCAAAATTTTCTGAAATGTGTGCTGAATACAAACACATTTAGTCACAAATGAAAAATATGTAGACACAATATAAAAAATAGTTTTAACTTGCCATAAAGGCAGGCTTTACTAAGAGAGTAACCTTTTAACGATTAGTAGTGGGCTAATACAACAGGTACAATGAAATCACAATCACTGCTGCACATTGAGGAATGGTGCTAATATGGTATTCCATGACCATAAATCTCTGCTCTAAAGGAGAAAAAAGGGCTGCAAAGAAAGGTTTGATGGAATGAGAAAGTAGGTGAGATAACTTCAGTGATCACAGTGTGCAACTCTGTTACGAACACTGTATAGCACCTTGTATCTTTTAAAAAATATTTTATATTCTGGGCTCTTTAGAAATACATGAGGTCTACATACAGTTATAAACAAAAATCACACATGGCGCAATTCTTCCTGCTCTGCAACTCATATGGAGGGGGAAAGTGCTTTCTCAACATGTCACTGGCAATGTCAGCCAAAGGGATCCTCACCATCAGTGTCTGAGAGACTCTTGACTATGGCTGAAACCAGTATAAAGGGGCAATGTCTGGCTGAAAGGAATGATAGTCATATAGGAGCAGAGGCACATCAGAGCATCTGCTTTAGAGGAGACGGTGAGCTTGGCATCCTAGAACAGGGGTGTCAAGCGTGCGGCCCACAAGCCGGATGAGGCCCACGCAGGGCTGCAATCAAGCCCAAGAGCAGCTGACTCTGTGCTGCTTCCTGCATCTATCGTCGCAGCTCCTTCTGGCCGTTTTTGCCTGACAGAGAATATATCAATCTATCTTTTGCATAACACTAGAAGATGACACATAGTGAAATTAACAACTGAACTGCAACTTTCTGGTACCTGATTTATTGATGGCCAACAGGATATTTTTTTTTCTTTTTGTTTAAAAAGAAACCAGCCACATTCATCAATATCAACCTAGAATCTCAGGACAGCTATCCTAACACTTAGAAATTCTTATAATGTTAAGTTTTTAAACCTGTTAGGAACTTGGACTGAAACATGAGAAACAGAATATTTTATTAAATCACTATTATTTCTAGATCACCTACCATATTTAAAGACACCATGCAATAATTAATAACCATACATTGTTATGTCAATTGTTGTTCTGTATGTTAATACAGTGACACATATCGACATCTGCTTGCTTTCAGATTGTCTGCCACACTAAGGCTATGGTTTTATGCTTCTGGCAGTTTACCTTTTCTTTCTTTTTTTATAAAAAAAATCCAATTTAACAGATTGCCTTAATGCTATATTGACGTTTCTGTGACCTCTTCATACCAGCAGTCCTTTATTGACCTTTCGGAATTCAGAGTCTTATCTGTAAGCCTAGGGGAACTGAGGAATGGAGCTTGTTTTACAAAGCATTAATGCCACATCCAGAGGAACAGTCAGTTCACTAGTGGGGCAGATAATACAGATTAAAAAATAACAACAACATATGAGAATTGTGATCAGAGAGAAGATTGGAGTAAGTGCCCTCTACCAAATCATCTCAGCTGACCTGCCAAGGGCTTTAAATCTCTAGTACTGCGACCTCTACAGTTATGTTAAACAGCTATCTGTACAAAATAACATTGTACATTTTGCTATACAGCAAAATTATTTCAATTAAAAGGTTCCTGGAACAAATATGCCTAACAAAACTTTGATACATTTCAACAGTATACTCTGGATGGTTTTTGCTTCTATCAAAACTGGAGTATGTGTTCTTACCCGGGATATAGTTAAGGAGCTGACCGGAAGCTTTCTTTCATAAGTTCTGTCCATCAAATTGGCCAATTCAGCTGTAGAAAGAAAATTAAAATGTTCAGTTTTCACTGGTTATTCATTACGGTGGGGGAGCAGGGGTTAAATGCAAGGAATAACAGGAAAGCTATTTTGGATTCTGGAGTAGAAGACAAATTAAGCAAACAATTTTTCTTTGTTTTTTGAGGGGGGAAAAGGATTTCCTGCACCAGCCAGAAAACTGCCATTTGCCTCTTGGCCTACAGCAAGCAGCAACGCATCCCGAAGAGAAGTGAAATAGCAACTGAATGCAGCAGCATGGATCCTTTGACTATCCTACCAGTACACTGAGCAAATCTTGAGGACCTCCTCCAGCCTATGGCTGGATCCAGCCTGTCCTCCCGGCACTATAGTTCTGCACTGCTACCGGCCCCACTGAAATACCACACAGCTCCATATAAACTGTAATTGTGACCCTCTCTTAGATTTACGAACACAAATATACACATTTCCAAAAGCAGAAGGTACAATACGAATAATCTTCATTTGTATCATTATTACAGAATTTGAGAGGTCTTTCTATTGTATTAGATACTATTGGACAAACAACCCTGCTGCAGTTTCCAATCCTATTAATCTTTTGTACACAGAATTGTTTTATGTGATACTCATAAAGTATTTGTACCACAGTGAATCTAGAAACCTCTGCCAGAGCTTTTGCCCTACTAAAAAGTATACTCTACTGACACCAATCTGACAAACTCAACATAAAA